TAATAATAGCTTCTAGGGTTTTAAAATCTTTGATATTATGTCAGGTCCACAAAAATTTTTTTTCAAATAGTGTATTGAGCATTTTTTAAAAATATCCAACCGTTGGTTGACTCTATTCTGACTAAATTTTTCTTTTAGTGTTATATATATATATATATATATATATATATATATATATATGAATATAAGAGCCATTACAAAATCCGTTTTAGGTAGGTTTGCCTGGTGTTTAATTTATCTTAAATTAGGTTTTGGTGATTACTTAGTGTATTGAACACTTTACGTTTGTTATCTTTTTTATACAAATTTTCGACAATTTTTTCTTTTCTTTGAACTTGGGCTTAAACAATTGACGATTGTTTTTCGCCTTGTTTTAATGTTCTTGATTCTTTCTTTTTTATTCCTCATTTTCCTCGGGTACCGATTTGTTTTACTATCAAGTTGAGCTATCCGAGGTTTTTCAAACAGAGTACCACCATTTATATATATATATTATATGCTTTTTGTATATATATATATATATATATATTGTGTGTGTGTGTGTGAAGATGTTTGTGTGTGTGCTCAGTAAATTTTTTCGTTTAACAATCAAATTCTTCAAAAAGTCAAAGATAAATTTTTCATTTGGAACGATTTTGCAAATGATTGTAAATATATATTAAACTAAGTTATTCAGTCGGGGTTATTTTATATAATTATCCTCCTGTCCTTCTATATAAAATGTATTTATATCTCTGTATTGTATGTAAAGTGACACTTTATACCTGTCTAAATACATTAATAATGAACTTCTGTTTGTATAAATCAAATTATAGGCTTCTGATTTGAAAATGTGATAGTATTTAGAAAACTTGAGTTAACATTGTTGATTGGTGTATCTTTGTGTCATGTTTTTTCTTTATTGATATAAATAAACGGAATAATTGAATGGCCGGATTAAAGAGAATCGCATGCTATATACAAATTCATAGCAAAATTTTTTCCATCATCAATCTTATTTTGGGACGCTTCAGCCATCAGAGATTGGCCCTGACTTCTTTTAGTACAAAGGGAGTAGATTTGCTTACGGGGGCGGTCCACTGAAATTTGGACAATTCGTGCTCTCAGTTTTAAAAAAAAAAAAAAGATCGAGATAAAAAAAATATATTAAATAAAAAATGATTGTTTCATAAATTGATAAATATTATATCGTGTCATAATTGTCCCATAAATTAAATATTAAATGAGAATAAATATACGCATGCAAACATCGTTTTATAAGTATGTATATGATTAAAATAGACAATAAGAAAAAATGTAATGTGTTCAGCCACACAAACGCGCCATATATTTGCTTTTTGTAAGTTTTCTTTAATCGCATATATACTACTCCGGAAGTATATTTGCAGGAGGCGGTTTCTTATTCTAAAAGAAAAAAAAAAGGGAAAAAAAGAAACGCAAGAAGAAAACTGAGTTCAGAAGAAAATGTAGTAGAGTTATTCAGGATCTTAAATAGTTGAACCACAGCTACAATAAGACGAAGAGAACGTAAGTTATGTCCAAATATTTAAAAATGGGGAAACAACTAAAAAAATTAAAAAATAACACTCTACTCTAAATGAATTAAAAAATATCTTCTTAATCTTACTTAACCGAAGTAATTTTTACTTTAATAATAATTTATTCAAGAACACTAAATTAATGTAATTTTAAATATTTAGCTATTGTAAAATAAAAAAAAATATCAGTAAAAACTTGACACAATTGTGGAAATTAAAATATTAAATAAAAAATAAAATTTTTAACTATTTGTAAATTACTCTAATTATTTCTTTTTTCTGGCGGGGGGGGTCTTCTTTTTACGACAATTCTTTACTCGATACTTATGTATTCTGTTTGTACAAATTCTGTCAAGTGACACTTGAAATTTACAGTGTTTATATTTTCTTTACGTCGATAATACTCTCCTATGAGCAGTTCCACAAATTTTTATAAACAGAAGTTATTGTTGACCCGACAATATTGTAATCAGGACTTCAATTATTAAAACAGTAGTTATAAGGTGCCACACTTTTTAAATTTTAGTTTCAAGATCCTTATTTGTCATATTCTTTTTAATGCATACGTTTTTTATCTGATGACATTAACATTGGCATATCTATGAGAAGACATTTATAATGTTTTAACCTTTTTATTCAGTAGTCTATGTCTGCCAGTATAAATGGTCACAAAGAAATTGTAAAAACCTTTCTAATAACTGGTCCAGAGTGATCTTCATACCATTTTTAACATGTAAATACACTAACATGTTTATCCAATAATAATATACCCCAATCTTATGTCGATAAAAATTCTTTTCGGTATCAAGATTTTTCAAACTTGATCATGTTCTTCATATTGAGTGTGTGTCATTTTATTACTTGCCTGGTAATTCCTGGTAAATAGCCGCTTCGACCTTGTGATTATTATTATTATTATTATTATTTACAAGTTGAAGAAAAGTTAAATTTAAACAACAATATTAGCTATAGCCATAATTTTTTAACTGAATTATTAAACTGTTAACATGTACATGAGTCGTTGCAGAATCAGATGAGAGGAAATTTTAATATTAATTGCTTTCATATCACGTTTAAACAAAATCGCATAATTGAATGAATGATGTTTCGTCGTAACTTCAAAGAATGGTAACCTGGCATCAGCGGCGACATGTCTTTTATATTCAAGAACTCGACGTCATTTTTGGTTTCCAATGTATTCACATTACGTCGTTTTAGTTTCGGTGCGATAATAAAAGGCAATGACGCAGTTTCCCACCCTAATGCATTATCAATAGATATTCTTTTGAAATTTTGAGAGATGAGATAAGGTGAAGTGTCTTTAGAATTTTGCTTGCGTATTTTAAGGTAAAAATTCTTAATATGTTTCTGTTAAATATTGACTTGGAAATATGTTGTAAAATCGTCATCATTAACATTATTAAAAGTACCAATGGAGATTTCAAATTGAAATTTACAAACAGTAATGCAGATAATTTAACAAAACTCAAGAAAAATGTACAATTTTTTTTTTTATGAGGGTGGATCAACAAATCTGTAGTCTGAAATGGTTATGAACTGATTTTTATATTTTAAATTTTCACTGTACGTTGTTCGATCTATGTAATTAATCGAGCAGTGTTCGGTTGAGTGCACCAACAAAGAAGAGATTATGTTGAAAAATACTTGTTGCGCAAAATAAATACATTTAATCATTAGAATTCGCACTTAATGGTATATGCATTGTAATAGGTACCTCCTAAAACAAGCGTGATTTCGACAAGTGAAGAAAAAATAACGATACACTCAGTTTTGAAATATATACCAAAATCGAGGAATAATTGGATTTCATTGAGATTTTCAACGCTTATTCATTAATGAATGAACTTTTCTTTATATTGAATCTTTTTTTTTAAAGTTTTGTTGAAATATTTTTTTTTTTCAGGTCAATTATACTACCCTTTACTTAAGACGTGACTAATTTGTACTAGCGGATTTTGGATGTTCCTAATTTTTACATAAAGCTAATTCCCCGCAGACGTTATGTCAACAACAACAATAATATTGAGTGTGAACATATCGAATATATAGTCGGAAAAATTGAAGAAAACTCAAAAATCCAATTTTAATAAAATACACTGTATATTTACACAGCGGAAAAATTCTCGGATCAATATTTGTTTGTGAAAAATTGACTTGTATTTATACAATACGATTTTAAGTTTTCAAGATCTTTGTCCTTGCTGATGAAATATAAGTAAGATGTATTTGACGAATCGAAAAATCTTTAATGCCATTTTTGAGTGTGAACATGTTTTTCAAATTTTTTATTTCATTTTTCAACTTTGATTTTTTATTCTGTAGAAGCTCAAAATGAAAATCTAATTAGTTATGTCTCGTGATTCCGTTCAAAATGATAGTTTCTTGATTGTGTTGATTCTGGTTTTCCATATTTGAGTCGGTGTTTGGCGTGAGTTTTGCATAGCAGAATGGGAATTGTACATTAGCAATTTTTTGACCTTTGAAAGTGTTTAACAAACGAAGACAATCTACTAGGGAAAATGTATTTTTCGTTATATATTTTTTGCAAAAATTAAGTAATATTTTTACAAAATTTAATTAATCCTTAAATCTACTATATTTCAACGAAACAAATGTCTGGATTTTAAAAAGATTTTTAACGCGTTTCAATTTCTTTTTTGTCGGTGTCCATCATATTCGCTCATCGATCTGAGCAGAAATGGGTTTTGGGGATTTAAAAATGTATAAAATTCTTATTTAGGGATGTAAATTAATTTTTCTTTTTTTTTTTTTTACAGTGCCTAATCTATTTTAATACTTTTGTGCTCATTAAGATGACAGTTGGTATAGTTTATGGTGGAGTAGGAACCGTTATTATACATGTGTGCTTCAATTAAAAGTTGAAAGTTCTGAAATTGTCAATGTTGTAGTCGATGGAAAAGAAGATGAAACTAAGTTAAAATAAAAAAGAAAGAATGAACGAACAAACGAAAATGTTTACTGCAATTTTATATCAAATTTAGATGCCATGTTAAATTTACAATCTTAATGAGAGTTCGATCCGGTTAGCGGAAATGAGTTGGTGCGTATTTAATAAGAGGTCAGAACAACAGCTTGTGAAATAGGAAAAACTCTTATAAAAGTCATTATGATAGAGTCATGACAAAAGTTTAATGATAAAAGGTTGATTGATTGTTTTTGTTTAGCGACATATCAACCGCTATGGGTTATTTAATACCAAAATCTAAGTATTCTGTACGTGATTTTATTTTATTTTTGGATATGATCATTGTTTAGCAATACAAGTCTTACTCATAGACCTATAGGAGAGAGAGGTCGGTTAATACCTTTCCCAGTGGTATTTGCGCATAATATAACAAACCCAACTGGAATTGGAACTCGGCTCTCCGATTAACAATTCTGAGTCCTTATCCATTACGCTACTCGCAAATCCAAGCTTAAAGCACCTGGTATTCCCAAGCAGTCACCCATCTAGTTACTGACCAGGGTCAACATTGCTTAACTACAGTGTTCGTACAGGAACTGGTGTTTCAACGTGATGTTTCAACATAAGCCTGAGAAAGGTTTGATAGAGTTGGGTATTTTTGTCCGTGGAGCTAACCGCTATTTATCAATTTGCCAGTCTTTTTCTTAGGGCCAAACAGATCACAGAGTAGACTAGATGCAGCGTATATTGATTTTTCTAAATGTGGCACATGGCCGAAAGTATGAGGAACCCAGTGAGAATCGAACTCACTATTCAGTTGTAACAAGACCAGCTTGCTAACCATTACACCACGCCGAAGAGCCCCTAGATGCAGCGTATATGACTGGTTAATTTTTACTCGCCAATTTCTGATTGACCAAAACACTGTTGGGCTAACGTTCTTTCCTTTTCCCCAATTTGTATGCATCGCACTTGGTCGGTCACATGACCCTTAATAGACAGTCATTAAAGCCCGGCTTGTACAGAGATACAATGTCCAAATAGAATTGGCAAAGTCAAAATGTACCCCATGACCTACGAATAGAGACAGTCTCTTGAAACGTGACCTGCCGGAATTTTGAGTAATGATAGTGTTTGTAACACCCACTAGTTTTTCTTTTCAGGGTCGGAGAGAAGTCATGCAACACAGTCCTATACTTTATTAGCTTGTTCTCTTTATAGAAAATTTTTAAAAAATTCCTTTACGTTTTTCCGACTTCTCCGTAGGCATCTTTATTTTATTATTATAACTTTTGGGGTTATTATCTGCTTACCACGGCCAGATCAAAGTTACCCAATATATATTTGATAACCTACCAATAGTAATGCACTAAAATCCCTAAAAAGCATAAAAATCTTTTGGAGTTGTCAATTAATCTAGACCTTATGTAGTGTAAACTTTCACAACATGTTCGTCATTCCTTGATAAACTTTGGTATTGTTTCTTATATCTAAATAGTTATGGCGACAATACTCACAATTATTGTTGTTATCAACACTAAAGACATAAGTGACAACAAACAAATTTCAAATCTTGACCAATCTCCTTAGTTATCTCGCCGACTTTAGCAGTCTCTTCATTTTCAACCTATTCTCCCGCCTGTAAATGTTCTAACTTGTTTAATAGTGTATTTGGAACTACTGATCCTCTGATTAGGAACACGACCATCAGTTTTGTTACCTTCAATTTTCTTTTTTGTTTTTCTTTTTCGCTCTTGTTGGAGTTTAACAAATGATTTACTGGAACGACCGCATCTACTTTTTGACTAACACACCTTTCATACTATTTCTATGAATAGTATGTCTAATTTCCTGACCGAGATATGGTGATACCTTTATAGTTAGGTTTCATCATTTTATTGTAGAAAATTGCTAGATGTAGCCGTAAATTCTATTTTAATAGTTTCTTCCCTCGCATTTCTCGTCCTCCGTGGAACTTTCATCCGGTTTCTTGCTTCCTTGTTAACTATGATCATCAACAATGTAAATGCAACGACAATTGTCAACTTTTATCTTTTTGAATTTTTTTCTTTTATTGTCCTACTTTCTCAGCAACATTACACTCTCAGTAACTCTTTACGTCTTAGTGGCTTTATCTCCTTGCTTTGGGTGAAATGAGAAAAAAATCGAAATATTAAAGTATTTAATTTTTCTGATGAACTGCTACTAGTTTGTGTTCATGTTGTTTGTTGTTATGTCAGTATCTGTCTATATTTCTGAGATGAGGTATTATGTACATTATATACATTATTCGGACTATTGTCCTCATCTTTGTCGCCATATTTATCACAACGTTTCGGCCGTTGTACGCTCCCGCCTTCTTCAGATGGTTTGGAAATGTCGAACTGAAACCCAATGAACGAAATAAAGGATCCAGTGCGACATTCCAAATCCACTTGAAGAAGGCAATCATCAATAAATCTTTTCAAACGTTGTTAAATATGGCGACAAAGATGAGGGACAATATCCGAATTATGTAAATCCTATTTTATCCTTTTCCATTTTTAAGATACTTTTTTTTTCTTCAGGTTTTATTAACAACTGGAGAATAAATTATGTGATTGCTTTTCTGAAAGGTCGCGTGTATAAACTAGTTTACTAATGCAGTTTGAGAAAAAAAATATATATTCCCCTTGGACGAAATTCTGTATTGTAGGTTCCGCTTGAGCAGAACACATCGGAACTACGGATTTTGAATCCTGTAAGAAGTCGTTGTTTGAAACAGATTTGCATGAAACAGATAACATATTACATACGTTTGATTCTGTTATTTCGTAATTGTCCCTACTAAACGGCTATCCCCTGTTACCGATGTTACATTTAAAAAGAATCGTTTGTGCATATAGAAAGTGTGATTAGCTAATCTCTGTTTCAGCCACCCGCTCAGGCGCACATCTATTTATTCAACACCGACAGAGCCAGCCTTAGTTATAGTTTCTTAGTTTCTGCCGTTAAACAAGATTACTACGCAGAAACCTTCGGTTGCGATAAGTTGTGACTTCATGCGGCTATCGGCGTAAAACTATCGACGGCTTTGGAACTATTCCGTTTACTCAATCTCACTTACAAGGCTTGAGTCAAACGTAGTATAGTTTTCTTGCACTTTCCAACGGTGTCACGCGCTGGAACCGTCACCTCAAGCCGATATTATCAAGAAATTGCCTCCTTGACAAATAGACCATGTCGAGATTCGAACCCAGATTTCTATCATCGATGTCAACGTATGAGTTCAACAAGAACTATGATTATTTTGACGTTGGCCGTACATTAACAAGATAAAGTGTTGTTGTTGAACATATCGTCACTCGTACATATACTCATCTATCAACCGACTCAATACGTAACTTTAATATGTAATTATAAGTTTCTTGTATAACTAAAATATTAATAATTTATCTGTTAGAAGATATAAAACAATATGTAAAATATTTAGGCTGATATAAAGGAAAGAATTTTATACCGTTTTAATGATCTGTCGGCTAATTTTATAAAACCCTATTTTTTCAAGGAAAGAATTTAAAGCAATAATTTTCACCCACTTAAACATCTTAAAGAAACTGATGATGCTTAGTGTTTCTAATATTGCATCAGTGCTCTTTGGGGGCTTAGTTTCATATATATTTCATTTGGAAATGGAGAATTAAGCTGGACCGTTTTTGGTTTTTTTCAATTTTCCCTTGCCTATATTCATCGCGACAAACCAGTAATGTCAGTTTCGGAAAGTGGGATCGAAATTGTTGTCAAATACACAACTGTCGCTAGTTTACAATTCTAACCACTTGAACTTACCTTGGAAACCTTAGTTGATATATAATTAATTTTTTTGATAGTGTCGATACAGGAAAAAATAGTGAAAATGTCAAGGACGACAATGACGATACTATCAGCAGCGAATGGCTTATTGTCACTGAATTATCTCCCCTTCTTCTATCAACTCATTCCTTTTGATTGTCATTTATTCGCATGTGCGATCCTTACGACAAAATGGCGGACGCTAATGATATATATATGACAAGTAGCCGTTTCTTGTTCCTGTTCACAAATTTCGTCTTCTTCAAATGAAGCAAAAATATGATAACTACAAATAAAAAAGAATCACTGTAACCAGCAGCAAGGCTTTCAATAATATAAAAAAAACTTAAATCCGATTTCAAGAGAAAAGAAAAAAAAACAATGAATTAAAGCAATGTCGTAATTTTGGTTACTAAAATTCTTTGTAAAAAATTTCAAAATTTTCCTATTTTCATTTTTGATGAATTTTAAACATTAGTTAATGAATGAATAAAAAATGCCATTTTTCCACAATTCAATATCCGTAAATAAATCAGATCGTTAAATATGAATGCTGGTCAAAGTGTAATTGTTTACAAATGAAAAATTTCCATTTCAACGAAATAGACAAGCTATAAAAATTCTTATCTTCCCTTTTTTTATTTTCATTCGTTCAAATTCTAGAATTTGGACATAAAACGTCTCTGATATTTCTTTTTCCATCTTTCCACGCGATCAAAAGAAATTTTCTATAATTTATAGCAGGGCGTAATGGTTGTTCATTTAGGGATTTCAAGCAGAATTATAATAAAATGTTTTTAAAAAAGTAGCTTATTTTCTTATTAGTTATCAATCGATTTACTTGATTCTTGAACTAGAGGGTATCTGCACTTGATCAATATCATAGGTGATCAGTTAATTTCTACTATATTGCTTCAAATAAACCCGTATGAGAAACTCCTTCTACTTGTTAATAACGAGAATCTCGCGACCACACTGAAATGCTTTTTGAACAGATTTGTAGTGGACTCCTTGGGGCGATGTGAAATGGCCCGAGCTCCCCAAAACAGTATGAAGTCACAAGAGATCCACTAACATTTTTAAATTAATTTATTAAATAATATAGATATTTAAAATTAATAATTAAATTCATACATTAAAATATATATCTGATAGCCGGGTTAGATGGTCTGTATATAAAGGTGGTCGGACAGGACGTGTTGATTATATGGACTGGTTGTGTATACGGTCAAAAAATTGAGGTGTAAATATTCCGTTTATCTCAACAATTTTCTGGATTGTTTTTGGTCAAATTTATCCTTTCGTTCCGGTCGGCGACGGTAACTTAAAATTTCGAGCAATAGCGTTAAAACGGCGACGGTGGCTGGTCAAAGCCGGGCAGGAACCAAAGCTATTCATTGCGATGTGGTCCTGAAAAATAATAAAGATTCAAATCCGGTGCTGGTGTTGCATATCTGCTGTTCGAGTCCGATGTTTTCAACCTCCTGAAAGTAAATGTAGGATTGGTTATAAGAAAATGGACGACATGGTGCCTAGTCAAAGTAAACAGAATGCCGGGGGTAGAAATGCGCAAAATCCAGAAATATCAATGCTGTTAAAAAAATACCTAAATATTTCCAGTTGGCAAATAAAAAAAACATGGGAACATAACTTAATACGCAGCTCATCCAGGTGCCTGTGTTTCTTCCTCCTTTATCCTTAATTTAACGAGAAGTCGCCGGGTTATATTAAGAGAGACGAACAACAACCACAGGTCTCGTAAAATATAAAAATATCTT